AGATTTATATACACTTTTTTCTTAAAATTAATTTATAAATTGATATTTTTAAATATTATAATTTATTGTTTAAAAAGACTATAAATTAATAAATTATCAATCAAATCAAATTCATCTAATTCAATTTGTACGGCCTTATTTAATGAATTATTGTTTCACAATAATCGCGCAGCCAAATTTATAGGCTTAAAAGTCTTACTCAACTCATTTTAAATAAATGGAGCTTTGATAGTTAAAAGTAATTTTGTCACTAATATAAATAATTTTTATATTCACATGATAAAAATTCAAATTTATGTTCATCTCCACAACCTATCATATTTCCCATAAAGTTGAAAATTTTATTTTAGTACATAAAAAAATATTTTAAATAAGTATGTTGAATGTAATTTTTTTCGATTAAAAATAAAAAATTTTGAATTCAAATCATATAATATACAAATGAATTACATTAAAGGATGAAAGAAAAAGTTATTTTCTATTATATAACTTAAAATAAAATAAATAAATTGAAATACTTTGTTGAACCATAACCTACATGAGAATTGAGTTAATTGACTGCTTTAATCAACTTTTGCCACCCCTGAAACTGAATGAGTGACTTGATCCTCATGAGCGAAAATGTAAACTCACTGCTTGAAAAGGATTAGACACGTCAAACGCGTTAAATTGGTTGGGTCGAGTCGATTTCGCAAAGTCAAAGATTAATTAAAATGTTTGTGCATCATTATTGTTATATAATTTTAAATATATACAAAATTGTTATAATAACAAAAAATATATAATAATTATATACAAAACTATTGCAATAATAAAATTTTTCTCAAAATTTGTAAATAAATATTTATTAGACTTTAAAAAAATCATCAATAAATACTCAATGAACTTTAAAAATCATTTAATAAAAATATCCAATGAGTTTTTTTTTATATACTATTTAAAGAATAATTTAAATGTAATATATCCAGCCTTAATAGATATGATTTCTTAGTTTTTTTATTTACAATTTCTTATTAATAGGATTCGATTTGATCTTTTTTTAATATATTTCTAATTGTACAACATTAGGGCTACAATTTATTTCTTATATATATAGATGAAAAGAAGAAAAAAAAACAGAGAGAAGAGTAGCCACCGAGAAAAAAAAAAAAAAGAAAAAAAGAAGTCAGAAAAAGAGAAGTTAAAGACGATTCCAAACAATTCTATTCATCATGTTCACCTTTTACCTTCAGTACTTTATTTTTTTTTTCTCAACTTGGATAGACAACTATTAAAATCTTTAAAATTTTAAATTTATTAATTAAATTGTTCCTAATTATATTGTTTCTTTTCTTTTGTAACGTTAATTATATTGGTTGTTATTGTTCAAATACCTTGATCAAAAAGGTACTAGAGTAAATAATTTGTCTTTCGATTGATGTCTATATTTACATATATGAACTATTGGGTTTATATCAAATCCTGTTTTAATATTGTAATAAGCATGCTAATCTTTACTAAGAAATTGGGTCTTTTAAGTTTAGATATAAAACATTTCTAACATAGTGAGGGAGAGGGGAAAAAACTGGAATAAAAAAAATGACTAAAAAAATAATAGAAACAAAATAATAGTAAAAGAAAGAATAATAATAAATAAAATATTAATATAGATATGGAAATACATAAATATAATAATAGAATATAGAGGAAGCTAGCCAGGAGATGGAATATTAAAAAAAAAATTAATGAGACGTGGAGCGAAGGAAAGTGAAAAAATATTAAGAGGAAAATGCAAGTTGCACTAATTATATTTTAATTTAAAATATTTTTTAATATATAAAACGAGTAAGAGAGAAAAAATTTAAGTTAAAAAAAATACATAATGATATATAGAAATACAAAGAATAATAGATAGAGGAGGATAAAGGGAGAAAAAATAAATTACTAATCTAGAGAG